GTCCACAATCCCTCATGTTACAAAACATGTGCCGACAATCTTTCAGATATGTTACATTTGGAGACGAGCAAACTGTACATCTAACAATCAGTTTCCCTTAAAAAAGGCAAATGTATGGTCTTCAAACCGCGCCAAGTCCAAGACGTACGAATTGTAAAATTCAAAGAAATATAAAGTATAAAGAAGACAATTTTGGGGGGGAGAAATTTTGGATGAAAATCTAAACAATTCTCACCCTTACCATTACCCTTACCCTTACCCTTGCCCTTACCCTTACCCCCACCCTCATCCTTACCCTTACCCCTTACCCTTACCCTTTGTGTTACCCTTACCCTCCTTTTAGCAACGCCGACCTTGAAGGCTCAGGATTTTTAGAGACACTTTAATACTTGTCTTGGTGAATGAAAAATGTTGTCTCTGTATATGTTTCGCCGAATGCTATTTCTTTTATTGATTGTTGGTAGTCTCTCTTGTAATTTTAATCGCTGTGCCGTTTGTTTTCAGTCCGCCGTTCAGTGAACATCGCTTGCAGGAGTACTCAAAATGCCGCGCGTATCAAACGCTTTTAAAGATTACACATCGATAAAACCATTGAATAAACAATAAACATAATAATTTCTTTATTATGTTGGAGCTTAACTCTAGTATGTTCGTTCAAACATTCGCTACAGCTCGCACTGCAAAAGTGAAAACCGGCTGGCCGTATATGTGATTTTGGAAATTTTTTTAATGGTTTAGCTAAGCCCATGCGTTCTTCGATCGTCCTGAATATTGAATGAGTGCAATTTGTGTTGAAAAATTGTGAAATACTGCATTCTGTCCGAGGTCTGTATGATAAAAACAATACCTCATAGTACTGTTTCACCTCAGATGTGATGTATAAATGGTATAAAAGGTTGGTTTACACGCAACCAGATTTGTTGGCAAGATTTTGTAAAGTAAACTTGTCGAGCGCAAAAATATTCGACCTGATTTTTTTCCAGGCCTAATTAGTCTTACGGTGATCAAGAGCCATTATGGCTCTTAAATGTGATCGAAGATGATTGCTATTTTTTGGGTGTACATATGAGGTTATCAACTCGATGTAAGATTTTGTTCACTCTTGGGCTGTTTGCAAATTATTTTTCTCTAAAATCACCTAGCCTTTCCCTCAAAAGTCACATAAATGTGCTATGTGCTCTAAAGTTAACTGAATTGTGGAATACGAGTTTATTGTTTGATTTAAAATATAAATATACTAATGGGAGCCTCGCTTTTAGCCCTGGCTAAATCTATATATTAGTTTTCGCAATTTGTTGACGTTTGTCAGCGTTTAAGAGTCAATCTCACGAAAAAAGCATTTTCTTAAAAATTCGTAGTTTTTTTCCTTCAAATTTTTTCAGGGCCACAATTGATTAACTAACTACCCGGACTCTGAATTTCATGGTCATTGAAAAACTGTGACATGATCGTCTATAAGCCCAAACTTGAGTAAACATTGAAGATTTTTAGCGTTTTGGCGGAGTTTGTGCTTTGGGAGTTGTCTATTGTTTCTAGCCTGTCATGATACCGCGTTCTTGTTCAGCACACGTGCAATGACCGCGCTTGGCCTGGCTGACTTCCGAATGCTCACCGAGATATCATAATTTTGGTACTGTGAGACAGGCCATCGCGTGATACATAGAGGTTTAACTCACAATTTTTAATCAATTCTCGTGCTTCTTGTGCCTTTGCAAAAAAATCAAGAAGTGCTACACACTAAATCTACTTACTATTAAAAAAATACCATTTTTTCATAGGTTTAATGCAAGCCAATAATTAAACCAACTCGTGACGGGAATCCCTTCTATTTTCTTATACTAAATTATTATATCTCGGTGAGCATTCGGAAGTCAGCCAAGCGTGGTCATTGCACGCGTGCTGAACAAGAATGCTGTATAATGACAGACTAGAAACAATAGACAACTCCCAAAGCACAAACTCAGCCAAAACGCTAAAAATCTTCAATGTTTACTCAAGTTTGGGCTTATAGAAGATAATGTCACAGTTTTTCAATGACCATGAAATTCAGAGTCCGGGTAGTTAGTTAATCAATTGTGGCCCTGAAAAAATTTGAAGGAAAAAAACTACGAATTTTTAAGAAAATGCTTTTTTCGTGAGAAGGACTCTTAACCCTATTCAGACTGGGCTTTTTTGGTCAATCTGTGACTGGGGGCTCCTCGGACCCCCCCTCTGTATCTCTGGAACCAATAATGCTAGGGTCATGAAATTTACACACAATGATCATCTCCGTACAAGGAAGCCCCACACCCAGTTTTGACTTGCCACGCCTAATGATGACGTCACAGTGACGTCATATTCCGATTTTCAATGTTTCTTATTATTTTTCCACTTAGATACATAAAATATCAATAATATTGGTAAAGTCATCTCTTTGTTATCCTTTCTTATGAACTAGTAACAAGGAAACACTTGTACAGCGAGAAAATGCAATAGAAAGCAGTAAAATTTAAAATTTGAA